GATCTGAGGATCGCAGATTGAAGCTAGCCTGGGCAAGAAGTCCCTGTGAGACTCTTACCTCAAATTAACCACTCAAAAACCAGAAATGTTGTTATGGCTTAAATGGTAGAGTGCTAGCCTTGAGCATAAAGAGGCTCAGGACCTGGGTTCAAACCCCACAACCAACAACAACCAAAAAAAAAAAAAAAGTACAAAGATTAAACAACACAAGTGTGGATACAAATGCAAACAAAGAACAGATACAGCACACAGAAAGCTGAAGTAGAAGATTTAAATCTAAATATGTCGGTTCTTTACTATTTTTCAGCAAAAAACTGTTTTATACAAAAGAACGCTCCAAGTTTGAGCTGGGCATGGTAGGAGGTCCCTGTAATCCCAGGTCTAGGGATTGAGGCAGGAGGAATGGGAATTCAAGATCTCTTTGGACCTTTCTTGAAAGAAAACAAATAAATCAATAAATAATAAGGCTAAAAGCAAAAGGTTAATAACCAAAAACGAACTTAAGAAATCTAATGAAACCACCTAGCATCAGGAAAAGATTTTAAAACATGAGAGAGAGAGAGAGACAGACAGACAGAGAGAGAGACAGAGAGAGGGGATGGCTATCTGCCTGAGGCTCGTGCCTGTAATCCTAGCTACTAGCAGGCTGAGATCTAAGGATTGCATTTCAAGGCAGCCTGAACAGGAAAGTCTATGAGATTCTTACCTCCAATTAATCACCAAGAAAGCCAGAAGAAGAGCTGTGGTTCAAGTGGTAGAACACTATGCCTTACGCAAAAAAGCTCAGGGACAGTGCCCAGGCCCTTACTTAGTCCAAGGCCCAGGACTAAAAAAATAACAAAATTAAAAAAAAATAGCTCCAGGGGCTGGGAAGGTGGCTCAGTGGTAGAGCGCTTGCCTTGCATGCATGAGGCCCTGGGTTCGATTCCTCAGCACCACATAAGCAAAAAGAAAAAAGCTGGAAGTAGCGCTGTGGCTCAAGTGGTAGAGTGCTGGCCTTGATCTGAAGAGCTGAGGGACAGTGCCCAGGCCCAGAGTTCAGGCCTCACGACCAGACCCCCCCCCAAAAAAAAAAAAGCTCCAATGATGTCAGGAAGATAAAACATATTAACTGAGAATGCATGAAAATCATATGACTTCCAAAAGACATAAAGCAAAATTGGACACAAATATAAGGAGAAATAAAAGCACCCACTATTTTAGAGGAAAGTTTTATATCAGTGCTCTAAGAGCAAAATAAATATATTTAAAATCAGATTATAGAAATACCACATGACCTAGATACTAGAGCATCTAAAAGATATGGAGTACTGAAATTTCATAAAATTGGACAAAATTCCTAAATATTAGTAAATCAAGTTCATCTATTTTGTTTTTGCTTTTTTTATTGTCAAGGTGATGTACAGAGGGGTTTCAGTTACATAAGTAAGGTGATTCGATTTACTTAAATAATTCAAGATTGATTCAAATATATAATATATAGGAAATGTTTAATATCAATTTTCTTTTATTAAAAGATATTGGCAAATTTAAAACTAAATGGTAAAACTAACTTTTGGAAATAACAAAAGAGAGATATCTATCACTTATACGTAATATTGTACTAAAAAGCTATTAGCATGGAAGAAAAACTGAGAAAAGGAACAAAGCAACCTAACATCCATACACCTAACTATATAAAAAGACTCTAAAGATAAATTACTATAATTACTATTTATTTAAGGTTGTTGAATAAAATTCAAAACAAACCACTATAAATATTTTTTATAATAGCATAAAATGTCAAATACCTAGGACGTAGACTGATGAATGTGTCTCCCATAGAAACTTTGCACCATTCTATTGTAAGATTAAAGTATTTGAATCAATAAGAGGTAGACTGACATATAAGACCCAAAATTATAAAGATTTAATTCCCCTAAAATAGAATCTCTATCCAAATTCCAAAAGGATTCCAGGTTCTCTGAGCCCTGACCAGCTTGTTCAAACCTGTATATAAAAATTTAAAAATAACAAGAAATCTAAGACATTAATCTGTCTGTCTGTATGTGTGCATGCACGCATGCACATGCTGGTACTAGAGCTTCAATTCAGGGCCTGGGTGCTCTCCCTTAGCATTTTGGCACAAGGCTGGTGCTCTACCACTTGAACCACATCTCCACTTTAGGCTTTTTGCTGGTTAATTGGAAATAAGAGTTTCATGGACTCTCCTGCTTGGTTGGCTTTGAACTTTAATCCTCAGATCTCCATCTCCTGAGTAACTAGGATTATAGATGTGAACCACCAGCAGTTGGCTCTAAGTCATCTTTGAAGCAAAACAAGATAGCAGACTGCTCTGCAATTTAGAAAACTCATACAGCTGCAACAATTATGACCATGTGGTCTGGTGCAGGTGCAGATAACCTCAAAGCCAACACATACATGCTCAAGAGGGCCTCTGCTGTGTGACAAGGAGAGAGTGAGAACAGTTCTTTCCATGTGTTGATAGCACTAGGAAAGTATAAAAATACAATGAGCCTGTTTCATCCAATGCACAAAAATCAAAGCGATAGCTCATAAATCTAAGAGAAAAAGCAACATAATAAAACTTACACAATTCAGGAAAAAAAAAACATTCTCAATCCTAAAGGCATATTCCTTAAACAAGACTGAAAAAGCACTAATCTTTTACAAAGCATGGCAAATTGTACTATATTAAAATAACAATTCTATTCATTAAAGAGAATTAAAAGGCAAGCTAATGTGAAGATATTTTATAATATATAATGAAGGGCAAAATATTTATAATAGACTATATAAAAAATTACTACCAATCAATACGAATATTCCCATAGAAAAAGGGGCAAAAGATCTGAACAGAAATCCATAAAAGAAAATAAACAAATGTTCAATAAATGAATGTAAGGGAAATGGTATTCAATCTCACTAACAATAAAGGAATGAAATCATTTTCATGCAATAAGGTACCTTGAACTCAGGGCTTAGTACTCACACTCATCTTATTTGCTTATGGCTGCATTCTACTATTTGGGCCATGTCAACAGTCTGGCATTTTACTGGTTATTAATAGGCTGGCTTCATACTGAATAATGAGTATTGGATCTCAGCCTTCTGAGTACTAGGCTGACAGACATGAGCAATGGCACCCAGCAGAAAAATTAAACCACATACAGATTAAGCAGTTAAAAAGAAACACCAAAGATGAACAAGAACTGGCATCTTCATGTGTGTGCTGTGGAGAAAAAAAAAATGTCAAGTAGTACCACCATTTTGGAAATTAGATTGGTCTCAGCAGCCTTTTTCACAGTTTTGCATCATCATATACGGGGGTTGATTCAGAAGATCTGAGTTGGGCTTGAGCATATACAATCCAACAAGTCTCCCAACATGATGCTGTGGCGGCTCATGTGGGAACCATACTCTGACAGACAAGACCCTAAGACATCTGGTGTGTGTGATATATTAAATTCAATTCTCCAGAATCACAGTGACACATCACCTTGGGGGTAGGGGAAACTATGAAAATAACCACTGACCCTGTTCTATGTTCTATACAGCTGCAAGAGAAAAATCTGCAGTGTTAACTCTTTCCTCCAGCTCTTTGTTCAGTGGGGTTTTCAATGATATTGATCCGGGTGATTCTTGCTATAATATGAACTTTTCCCCAACCCCATTTGTTCCCCATTCTTGTTACCAGCTCTCCCCTTCCTCCCTGCCCCACCATGGCACTCATGATCCAACATACTGAGATTTATATAACTATATCAGATTATATTCTCTCTCCCCAGCAAGAATACAGAATCCAAGATGCAGGATCTTTGTGTGCTTTTCTAAGAGGGGATCAAAGTGTTCTGCATATAAAGCAAATATTCAAACAAAATGAATTAAAGTTTTCATTTTTTCCAGAATATATAAATGGTTCTTTAAATATACAAAACTACTTGTGTATAGGAAAAAAGTATAATAGCAGGGGGGAAATAACTAAGAAAAACAATTTTTTTTCAGCAAAAGAGCCTGAATTCTAGCTGGACACTAGGGCTCATACCTATGATCCTAGCTACTCAGGAGGTTGAGATCTGAGGATCACCATTCAAAGTGAAGCCAGCCTAGGCAGAAAAGTCCATGAGACTCTTATCTCCAATAAACTACTCAGAAAACGCCAGAAGTGGTTTTTGTGGTTCAAGTGGTAGTGCGCTATCCTTGAGCGTGAAGAGGCTCTGGGGCAGTGCCAAGGCCCTGAGTTCAAGTTCTAGGACTGGCAAAAAACAAACAAACAAACAAACACCTGGATTCTAGCACCTTTACTATCTGTCAGCTAATTGTTTTCCAGAGACTAGTGTCACCTTTTTGGGACTCAGTAGCTTCATCTTTGAAAGGGTGGCAGCAGCAGGTGATTGTTAGAATTAAATTGGATGAATTATACAAAGTCCTTATACCATGGTCTTGTCATTAGACAAAAATCCTATCTCACCACCTTCTACTCACACTTAACTTTAAATGTAAAATTGTTTTTAAAATAATCCTTTTAGTTATATTAGATATAAATAGAATTATATATAAAAGCACAAAAACAAAAGTGTTTTAATAATGCTTAATGGCTGTGGAGAGAATTCTCCTTAAAACCTAACATAAATCTCTTTGCTGAAGTTTCAACAGCACTTCGGTATTTTACAAATACTAAGGAAGTATTTTGAATTCAGCTCCCATAAAACATTAAAATCTCCCCAAGAGTATTCATTCATAAACTCTTTTCTGAGAGGCGTACTTTAGTTCTTGTGGGCTCTCTAAACAGGACTAAACTCTGATTATAAACTAAAGCCTCACATTTCTCATCAGTAGTATTTTAGAGGCAAGAAACACAGTTTTCACAGATGTGAGTATTCTAAATCTAGCTGTTTAAAATCTAAAGCATCTGACCACCGCACTGTTTCCAGGATTACAGTGAAACCCAGACACATGGTTCCCACAGTTCATGCTGCACACTCATGCGTGACCTGTTATTGCTGAAATAGAGTCTTTATTTCTGAACATTCCAAAACAGCAGTGTACACAGTAACAAATAGTATGTCATTCACCATAAGAAAGCATTCATTAGTGCAAATGGATTTTGTAAAAGGTCTATCAAAAAGATTTATTTGCTTTAAAATGCATTCATTTCCAGAAGCATTGTTAATAAAACATTACAGTTTTATCCTTTGTAATAAAGTATTGAAAATCAATGGTGGTAGAGTAGCAAACATTGCCTGTATTAAGTACAATGAGCTTGGGATGCCTTATAAATATGAAGTCCATGTACAACAATAAATTAACAGTGAAAAAGACAAGACCATTTAACTCTGCTGTCTGGCTATATCTCCTTGTAATGCTTCAGATTACATTGTGCTCGTTCAACATAAAATTATGTCTCAAATTGTATGGTGTATTTTTGTTGATATATCCCTAGAGCTAAAAAAATAGTACCTTACCACAAAAATATTTTTATGGCACAAAATTTTCAGTTGTCCCATAGTGGCTCACAGAGGCATAAAAAGAAATAGGCACAAAAAAATAAAATTCCTGTAAACTATAAAAAAGTAAAATTCAAAGCATATGGTTTAGAACCTAGTTGTAAAAATGCAAAGTATATAATTTAAAAAAAAACCCAGAATGTAATGGAAAGATGTTTAGAACACATAAGTAAACTGGATAGGTTACTTAAAAAAAATCATATGGCAAAGCATTATTGATACATCTCCATTCTTTCAAAAAGTATTCAGATACAGAGTAGGTCTACAAAAACTTCCTAGATCTAAGTGTCACAATACTGCAACCACGGGTTTGAGAATGTTGCAGTACTTCATGTAAATATTTAAGTGCAACCATTAGTCTCTGGTGATTGGTCCATTGAAAAACAATGCAGGAAATGTGTTAAAATGCAACAGGGAAAGAATATCCCCACATCCACCGTTACCCAGCCAGCTAGGTAACACACCCTCATTGTCACTTCTTTCCCGCTGTCCTGGGTACATGAGACTGCTTCAATAGCAGCCATCTCTCCAGTTCCCATCCCTCAGCGTGCTGAGCGAAGATAGGGGCTTCGGAGGCTGCAGGAAACTAAAAAGAGATGAAAGAGAAGAGAGTGTTAATAATCCTGTGAGTCTCATCTCTCACTTTGATCTCTTCTCCACCCAGGAAGGACAAGCTCCTGGCATCGCCCCAAGTATACCTCGAGTTTCATGTTTCTGAGCCTTCAAAGCAGATGCTGGCCTGCTGGAGCCCCGGTGATGGCATGGGGCCATACATGCTGCACAATTTAACATGCAGCAGAATGTATAAAAATATTTAAAGTTCAGAAAGAAAAGGATGAATGCAGTGGGGAAAACCATGGCAAATATGAATAAATGGTGACTTCGTTGACTACATATACCAAATGTCCATGCAGAAACTTTTAGTCTTACTAATAAGCAAAAAAGTGCCTATCATATTGGTAAAGCCTTTTAAGAGATAATAATGCCCAGTGTTTGAGGAAAAACCCTCTCACACAGTCTGGCAGTGACATCCTTTTCTCCTTGGAAATATATATCCAAGGATAAATGGAGGAGCCATAATAACTGATATACATCAAATTATGTGACTCAATTAGCCACAAACATGATACAGCTCTGAATTTACTAAAGAGAACAAGACAAAAATGTATTGAATAAACATAGAACCAAATGATTTCTTTCTGGATAGTAGAACTATGGGTCAGCCTTTATTTACTTTTCTATTTTTCAGTAACTCCTGAACAATCATTGCTTTTAATCAGAAAAATCAAAACTATGAAAAGATACATAGAGAAAAAAATTACATATCCCGACTAAATTCCTTTCAAACTTTTACTATGGTTCTCCTCTCCTCCTTCAAATCCTTACTGTTTTCTACCACCAGTGTCTCTTTCACTCACTGGTAAGGATTTTCTTTTCCTCACTATGAAACAGTCTATGATATCCAGTTGAAGAGGCTACATTATAATCAGGGAAAATGATGCTTATCAAAATGACTCCAAGAAGTGGAAACAAGAGGTTTTTCACTGTACTGTTTGTGGTTCTTTTTTTCTTTCTCTCTTTTATTTAGTTTATTCCTTTTTGTGGCTGTTTTATATTTCTGTACCCTTTGTCTTAGGTATAAATTTATCTGATTGGGGAGGGGAAGGAGAATCACAGAAACAGGGGACAAAGAGTGAACTAATTCAACAATGATACTCACTAGACACTATGTTGGAAATGAACTATACAATGTGGGGGAAAGGAGGGTCAGGAGGGGAAACACTGGGAGATAATGGAGGAGGTGAAACTGTTCAAAAAATATACTCATTACTTGATTTCTACACCTTTACAATAAATTTTTAAAAATCAGGAGCTTATCTAAAATGTGACTGCAAATACCCTAAGATTTTGAAGGAAAAAAAAAAAAAAAAGACCTACATGGACTACTGAACTTACCAATATAAACCGGTAAAGGCACTGGTGAGTATCACTACCATGGTTTTTCAAAACTGGGGGAGGAAGGTGTCATTTTCCACATTCGTTTGATATCCTACCCAATACAGGACACTAGCTCTTGGCTACAGGGGTACAGAGCAATGAACCCAAGAATCAACTACCCCTCTACCTTCCCAGATTGCAATTTTAGACAGGGGAGTTACTGTGAGCGAAAACTTGACAGAGGGCAGGAATAAGCTACACAAATAACTTCAGGGACAGAAGAGAGGAACTACAAAGGCTCCGTAAACTCAAGCAAAAGCAAACAGAAGAGCATGCCAAGAGTGAAGTGATAAGGTAGTAAGGGGAAAGGATGAGGTAAGAGAAGAGACTTAAGCACAAAGGACTTAACCCATCACTTTACTAAGAAAGGTACACAAGTCAAGCCATAAAGGACAGTGACCTCCGTGACCTAAGTTTAACTACGGTTAAACTGAGCCAAAGGTATGTGAGGCTGGTTCCTGGAGTAGTTCTGAACTGTCAAATTGCAGAGGAAGGCATGTAAACAAAGGAAGGCCCCTTACCTTCTGACAGGTTGTGCAATTTTGCTCCGAGGCAGGTTACTCCCATTTATTGCCAGTGAAGGTCTGGGAAGTGCACTGCGGCCCATGATCCCGGAAGCTGCAGCTTTGTTTGGGGTGGGGATTCCGGTGTTGGAATATAACTGTACGCCGCCATTGGATACAGGGAGATTACTGCTGCCTTGAACTGTGGGACTAACATAAGCTGTGGCTTTAAGGGGTTGCCGGACAGACACCGGGAAATGCCCCACGCTAGGGACCCTGTGTTGAATCTGTCCTGGTGATGGAACTAGAAGAGAAAATGATGCTTATGTGAGTTACCATCCAACTAAGGAAAATGTGCATGACATTCAGAGGACTCTATATAAAAGGCAGGCTCTAGATACTATTCAGTAGGAGAAAATTCATTGACAAGAGTCTCCAGTTCTGTCCATTCGCAGCACTGAGGAGTGCCTAACTGATAGCAACCCCTGAACCACCTGGGAGTCAGGAGAAACAAAGCCGTGTAGTAAAAAATCCAAGTATAACTCAAAACTCCCCCAAATCTCATTAGTCATTTCCTGTTGACCCAGATCTTTGCCAGTAATATAAATACATTGTATGTATTCATACAATGAAAGTTTCACTGTACTTTCATTGAAGTCTTCATTGAGTCTTAAGTTCCAAGAAAATTCTTGAATATTGCAAGGGATAACTTTTTACTGTGATAGACAATTTCCTGGAGAGCAGAAATGCTCAGACAGAGATGATCAGTGACATGGGGCATTTTCAGCAGGTTCTTGCAAGACTTGAGCTCACCAAGAGGAACAGGATGTGGCTACAAAATTATCACAGTAGCCAGTATTTCTTCAGTTAATTTTAGGCAGTTATGATTTAGTTCCTCATCTTTGCATTTGTTTACATTTACCTTGCCTGCAAATAGGGACATGTATGATCTGTAAGTGTGTGCATAAACTTCAATGAATTTTAACCTTTTATCATGGTTGTATGCATACTATCTGGTAGCAAATGATAAAAAGAAGCCTATGTTCTACCTCTATTTTATTCACTAATGGCACATCTAACCTTTTTCTTAATTTTTCCATTATTTTTTAAGTCACAAAGTTCCATTCATCCACAAGGTTTGTCAAGATTGTAGCCAATCTCCAAAAGGAAAAGACAAAAAAAAATTGTCCATATGTGGGCTTATGCAGTTCAAATCTGTACTGCTCAAAGATCATCTCTATTTAGAAGCTAGTTCTAAGCAGAGCCTTCTCTCCTTTAGTACATGAAATAATTTCTTGGTTCTCACAAACTCTTCCTTGCTTACTTGGAAGCCATTCAGATTTTTTGAGAGTTGCTCAGGGAATGGTTTGTAAAAACAAAATAAGAGGATAATTAGTAGTTTTAATTATGGAAAGGAAAAAGAGAAGTTTATGACAAACATATTCCTTAAATAATATTCATTATGGATTTTTAGGAGAATGTGAGAGGGTCACCAATGAAGAAACAAAGAGGTAAGTAAAGCTAAGCTGAGAAAAGCATGTGACATCAGAATGTTACAGCGGTCAAAAACCTAACCAGGTATAACCAGACCTGTGTTTGAATCTGTTGAATCTTCGCCTCATGCCCTGGAGAAATTATGACTTCTCCTATCTAAAACTATTTCCTCATCCAGAAAACAGGAATGACAAAAGAAACTACATCATACATACAATAGAACAAAATAAGATATTCATATAAACCAGTTAGCACAGTCCCTTCTAGAGTATTGCTGTCACTTTGTTGTTAGGAACTAAGACATGAAGAAATGGAAGACTATCACCACTTGGAAACTAAAACTGAGTTTGAGGGATAGGGGCTACAGACCAGATATCTGTTTGCTAACTCTCAGCCAGTCTCTCTGCACACACCTTGGGCCTCCCAAGACTGGTCTGTGACCTGTGTCTTCCTGATGCATCAGTCTAAGATTTAACCAAAGCAATCCATATGGAGAACATGTGTAGGAACAGGGAGAATAAATCTAGAGCCACCACATCCCCATGCAAACTGAAACAAACAGCAATAGGATTAATGCTGCCTCCACTGCAGGTCCAAGGAAACAACTTGATTGTGTGGTACATTAAAATGGATTAGATAAAAACTACTTCATAACAGACAAAGGACCCAGTCAAACCTAAAGGCATCTAAATGATAAGAATGTACTCTAGGTAAGAATAATGTATACTGTAACAAATGAGTTGTATTGATAGAAAATCCTCTTCCAAAGGAAGACTGGGCACAAGGGTATATAGGAATTCTTTATAGTACTTTTACTAACTTTCTGTAAATCTAAAGCTGTTCTAAAAAATATTCTTTGCTAAAGCATTATTTGAAAATCCAACAGACAAATGGAATGAGTGAATGAATTAGATAGGTACATAGATAATAGACAATAGAGTCTAATTTGTGCTGGCATCAAACTCACAGTCCTTCTGCTTCACCTTCCCACGTGCTGGAATTACAGATGTGTATCATCATACCCAGTGACAATAACTCAGTTACGCTAAAATCATTTGGTGAAAAAATGGTTAAAAACAAAAACAACATGTGCCAATGCTCACACCTATAATCCTAGCTACTCAGGAGGCTGTGATTTGAGAATCACAGTTTGAAGACAGCCCCGGCAGAAAAATCCATGAGACTCTTATCTCTAAAAAACTACCAAAAAAGCTGCAAGTGGTGCTGTGGTTCAAGTAGTAGAGGACTAACTTTGAGTAAAAAAGCTCAGGGACAACACCCAGTCCTTGAGTTCAAACTCCAGGGCCAACAAACAACAATAACTGAAATGTAATTTTATTTGGAGAGAAAAGTGCCACAGAATGGTTTAAAAAAAGAAACAATAATTCTCTGACTAAAAGTGTGAGGATTAACAGCTAGAAAGAGGAGAGTGTTATTTTTATTTAATAAATGGATACATAAATGAGTATTTGCTATATCTGCTGACCTTGAATACAAAGGTCTCTAATTTACTATTATTTTATTATTAGTTGGCAACATTGGCGTTACTTCAATGCAGTGACAAAATACTAAAGATAAGTTATAAGACAAGGAGAAGTTTCCTTTAGTTTGTAGAAAAGGAGGAGGAGGAAGAGGAGGGAGAAGAAGAAATGGGGTTATGACGAAAAGTTATTAGAATATTAGAAGCTGCTATACTTACTACAAGACTGTATTCTTGAAAGTCCATTCCCAGCCCCATGCAGGCTGGAGTCAAAACTCTGACTGCTCCTCACGGTAACTGGAGAACTAATGCCGCTACTGACTGTAGCTGTACTTGGCATCCGGGCTAGATTAGGCATGCTTCTTCGGAGCTTATCTGAAGGAGAAACAATTTTTACTAGGTTAAAAGTCCTAAATTTATTGACAACTGAAACACTTGTTTTTCCAAAGAAAAATAAATAAACTATGCACCTGTGTGGCCGGGACAGGAGGGGAAAGTAAAGGAAGCAGTAACATAGTCCCAAAAAGAAACCTACTCATTACCTGCCTTATGAAATGGTAACCCTTCCATATAACATACTTTTGGTAAAAGTATGTGCATTATGGATGGGATATCAGAAATCTGTTGTATTGTAAGCAGAGTTGCAACCAGAATTTCCAGATAGACTATTGTTAAAAGAAAATAAGTGTCTTATAAAGAGATCAATTAGCTGGCTGCTCCTACTCAGTAACTGGATGAAACTATCATATAAAGCTAGAGAATGTTCTTTAAAATACTAGAAATAAAGTTTTGTACTTATTTAATTTTTTTTTAAATCTAAACTAGGAGAGTCTAATGGTGAGCACCAATGGTCAAACCTGTAATCAGCTTCTCAGGAGGCTGAGATCTAAAGATCCAAGTTTAAAGTCAACCCAGGCATGAAAATCTATGAGACTCATTTCCAGTTAGCCACCAAAGCACCAAAAGTCGATCTGTGGTGACACCAGCCCTGAGTATAAAATGCAAAAAGACAGTGCCCAGACCCTGTGTGCAAGACCAAGTACCAGCACACACACACACACACACACACACACACACACACACACACACACACACACACAAAATAATAATTATTATAAAGGAGTCAAAACTAACACTTACTGAATATTTTGCTAACACACCGAAACGAAACACATGAACAAAATTCCAATTTGAGATGGCTTAATTTATCCACTCATCACATCAACATGATGACATCAACTTCTGGAAAGTTTTAACTTTCATCAGTATGCCAACAACTGTTTGCAAAATAAAACTCATTGAAAACTGCTGCAAAACAGGCAGCAGGAAGTGGTGCTGTGGCTCAAAGTGGTACAACACTAGCCTTGAGCAAAAAAGCTTATAGACAGTGCCCAGGCCCAGAGTCAAGCCCACAGACCAAAAACAAAAACAAAAAGAAAAGAAAGAAAGAAACAAGCAGCAGTGGGGATGGGGAAATTGAGAGTAAGCATAGTGGTCAATCTGATTAAGATACTGTATACGAATGATGCATGAAACACCAACGTGAAACCCCTTTGGACAAGTGACCTATACTGAAATAAATGAGTGAGAGGAATATAAAACAGGCCTTGTTGTGGATGTGGGTATTAATAGGAGGGAGACACATGTAAGAGAGTCAATATGGCCAAAAAAATTTTTTTTGTCAGTTGTAGGGCTTTAACACAGGGCCTGGGCACTGTCCCTGAACTCTACCACTTTGAGCCACAGCTCCACTTTGGGTTTTCTGGTAGAGATAAGAGTCTCACAGGGGACTTTTCTGCCCAGGCTGGCTTCAAACCGTGATCCTTAGATCTCAGCCTCCTGAATAGCAAGGATTACAGGTGTGAGTGACCAGAGCCTGGCTAAGTCAAAATATTTTATGTTCAGGGGATAATGAAGACTGCAGAGATTGGTTTAGGAAGAGAGGATGGGAGTGACAGAGGTTGGGAGTCTGATCAAGGTATACTATATGACATACAGACATGGCAAAATGAAAGCCCCTGGCACAATTACTTGATGCTAGCAAAAATGTGAAGGAAAACAAAAAGACCCAGAGTATGCCCAGATTTCTTTCTCGTTGCTCAGCATATCTTCTACCACCAAGAGGCAGCAGAGAATCAAATGCTACCTCCGCCTGTTGCATTTCTTGGTTTTCATCATTACAGCAATTTTCCCTGATTCTCAGGGATCCCTTCCAAGTTCCCCATAGATTCCACAAAGCATGGGTAATAACGAAACATAAACTTATTTTTCTTCATACATGTGCACACCTATGACAGTTTAATTGTTATGATGGTAAGAATTAACTTATAAAAGTTTACCATAATCAAAGTTCTTTAAAACTCATGGATCATTTCTGAGACTTTTTGCATTTAATTCTGATCACAGTAGGCAAAAAGTTATAGAAAACAAAGCCTCAGGGGGGAAGGAAGAACCTACCATACTTCCTTCCCCCTCCTCCCTCACAAGGCTGAAGCTAGAATCCAGGGCCTCACATATGCTAACAAACACTCTACCACTGAGCTCCATCCTGGGCTTACTTGAGGTCTACCTTTAACAATATTTATCCCCAAGTTCCTCTTAAAGTCTTTAGTCCCATGCAGCAAGCAATACATTGAATAAATAATACACATTATGTATAGACAGAATATGTAGCAAAAGTGAGGAGAAAGGAACATACATCTTAGCGCCTACAGGCCAAATAAGGCCTGAGAAATCACTTCATATATGACAGAAAAGATACAAATTCTTCTTGGTTGTCTATGGCCTTCTGCCTGTATTGGTATTTTTTATAGCCCTCAACTGTTATAAATATACAAATGACCCTTGGTAGAAAAAAGGTTACCTACCCCAGAATCTTCTGACATCACAAAATCTTATGTGATGAAGAATCTCAGTCAGTATCAGACTACATTACTTTCACTATATACTTTTTAAGGTAACTGGGAGGCAAAAAAAACTAGTATCTGGGAGGAAATAATTATATTCCATTAATTAGAATATTGAATTAGAATATTAGAATATTAATTGTTTCCCAACTACTATAAAAGATTTTAAATACATAAAAATATTGGAAAGAGGGCTGGGAAGTTGGCTCAGTGGTAGAGCACTTGCCTTGCATGCCTGAGGCCCTGGATTCGATTCCTCAGCACCACATACGCAGGAAAAAAAAGCTGGAAGTGGTGCTGTGGCTCAAGTGGTAGAGCGCTAGCCTTGAGCTGAAGAGCTGAGCGACAGGGCCCGGCCCAGAGTTCAGGCCCCACGATCGGACCCAAAAATAAATAAATAAATAACAATTAAAAAAATATTGGAAAGAGTGCCATTAATACCTGCATGTTTTCTTCTTAGGTCTAACAGTTGATTTAATTTTGCCGTATTTATTTGCTTTAGTTAAACAAAATCAAAAGTGCAGACATTTGATCCGTTAACCATAAATTATTATAAGATTCTATAGAAAACCTTATAGGAACCTGGTGCCTGTGGCTCCCGCCTGTAATCCTAGCTACTCAGGAGGCTGAGATCTGAGGATCACAGGTCAAAGCCAGCCCAGGCAGGAAAGTCCCTATGAGACTCTTATTTCCAATTAACCACTCAAAAACTAGAAGTAGCTCAGGTGGCAGAGTGCTAGCTTTGAGCACAAAGAAGCTCAGGGACAATGCCCAGGCCCTGAGTTCAAGTCCCACAACTGACAAAAAAAAAAAAAAGAAAACTTTATAGGATCAGAACACTTCTGTCACATGAAGCAAACTAACAACATTCTCACTTAAACACAAAATTTTCAAATGTTTTATTAAGTTTTTGCCCCTAAACCACAAAACAGTCAGGGTTTACACATTACTGTGGGTTATATCTCTCATCTCTAGTAATCTATAATGCAACAGTCTTTTAAAATAATATGTATTTATATAAATGCCAAACCAATTTCACAAAGCTTTAATCCTAACATCTACTCCTAAAACTAAAGCCATCCACATATAAATATTTAGGCCACTATGCCTCTTGGAATTAAGCTGTGATATTCAAGTTGTGTCAGACCAACTGGATTTTATGTTCACTTCTTTGTCAAACAATATGGAATCAGTAATAATCACACACACTTTAAAGTTCAAGGAATGAGAAGCAATGTCCTAGTTCTATTTTCCTAAGATAGTAATTTCATCTTCAAGCACTGAGATGCAACAGAAAGCTCAAAGTACACACCAAGTACAGAACTCAATTGAATGTGCTCATGAACAAAAGGCAGCAAATCTCAGCACTCCATAGAGCAGACAGGGGAATCTTCAGAAACCAAAAATGAGATTTAGTTATCCATCAAACTACTTGCTCTGCCAATCACAGTCACAACAGAATTCATGCAGAAGATACTTCAACTGCTAGTGACCACATAACACCACTGCTATGTTTGAAAAGATGCAGGAAGTTTGGTCGAGAATCGGCAAGATTTAGTTATTCCTAATAGCTGACAAATTGTTTACTATTTGGCAAACTATTTTTAATGGTATGGTTCCCCTAAGTACACCAAGAACTTGTTAAGAGCTGTTTCTTTTGAAGCTAACAAGTATAGGAGCTATAGAAGAAGTAGATACACATATGTATTTCTGTATTACTTTTGAGTATTTTTAGATAGATGGAAGAGTTATTCATTATTTTCTCCTATTTATATCACTGAGGCAATTTAGAAAATGTTTGATAGATTCATTTCAAAGTTACAATTCTTATTTCTCAATTTTGTTCAAATAATACTCAAATAATATTCTAACAAATGACGGCTCATATATACGAGCCACATGTTTAAAAAAAATTAAAGGGTGGATGGAGTGGAAGACAAATTTTATTCAGAACACTTACCCATGCAATGAAACATTCATTGTTTAATTTATTCCTTATAACATACTTAGGCTGGGAGAATACACAGCAGATGAGTGGTGTAAAATTACAGTTTTCTAAGAGATAGGTATTATCTTCTTCACATCTTAAAGCTAATGAAACTTGCAAAACTACAACATGAGAGGGTCAAGTGGCAAGAAAGACTAGAAATCAGGGTCTACTGCACCTCAGAGCCATTTGTATTATGCTAGTCAAAACCAAAAATCTGCCTTTGTATTTGTAAGGAAAAAGCAGATCATCTAAGAAAAGTAAAATCCCACAAACAGACCCTGCATGGCAGTAGTTCTCCATGTCCATGTGAAGTGTATCACAGCACAGGTTTAAGGGAAACTTAATCCTTTTCAAAACAGTATTTAATGAAAGCAGGTATCAATTTTCTAAGGTGCCACAAACAAGAGCATAGAAGAAAGTAATCCTACTGACAATACTAATCAAAATGCAGAGCTAGCACCTGCCGGATGGCAAGACTGTGGTGTTTTAAAGCAGGTGACTGAAACAACTCCAGAGCCCAATTCTCGATTCTAGCATGGTAGTAATAGCACCCAGTAATGCAGCACTGTCATTAATAAGCTAAAGGTCAGAATCCCTATCTGGCAGGCTTTCAAATTTGCAATTTGCAAATTTGCAATTATTCATATTATAAATACTTTCAAATAAACTTTCAGCTCATGAGAACAGATGAAGAAAAAAAGCTAAAAAACATGGTAAAAAGTTAATCGCTACTAAAATTTGTATTTCATTTGGCTATATTTTTAAATATCATTTGAGCACTTCTAGGCCTACCTTCAAGAAACAGTATGGTATAATAATTGAATGCTATAATTAAATACAAAAACTTTTAAGCTGTTTGCTGCTCTTCTAGTTTATGGGATTTTTTTCTTTGAGGGTATAAAACTGTAACAGCTTTAGAATATTATACAATTGTTCGCTATATAGATTTTGGAGAAAAATAAATGATAAAGATATAAAAAAGAAAGAGAATGATAAATAATCCACTCTACTAGGGTGCCTTTAGCACAGATAAATTCCCTGTTATCATAGCAAGTAATAGTTTCCATAAACCTCTGCCACAGAGATCTGAATTCTAGGTATTAGGAAGTCAGAAAAACAACCCAAACTCTCCCTAAATCTGGATGTGTGACAGCAGCATCCTTTCTAAGGCATCATTGTCATATCGATCATCACTGTGAGCCAGGAAAAGGCAGTAAAAGGTTGGTGGTTTTATGAAAGGTAAAGATGGATACAACTCATACCTTTGGCTTACAACCCGTTACTACCTTTCCCCATACTACAGTAAAATTAGCAACAACCCAAAGATGTTTCATACCTATAACTCCTTCTGAGCTAGTTACAGGTTGGCATTCTTCTTGAAGTTATATTATAATAATTCTGGGCGCCGGTGGCTCATGCCTGTACTCCTAGCTACTCAGGAGGCTGAGATCTGAGGATCCCGATTCAAAGCCAGTCAAGGCATGAAAGTCCATGAGACTCTTATCTCCAATTAACCACTAGAAAACAGGAAGTGGTGCGGTGGCTCAAGCAGTAGAGCACTCGCCTTGAGCTGAAGAGCGGCAGGGATAGTGCCCAAGCCCAGAGTTCAAGCCCCACAACAGACCAAAAGAATAAAAATAAATAAATAAATAATTTCAGGATATGTAACTGAAACGGTTAATTTCAGATATAAATTTATAAGACCAAATGCTGCTAAGGTCCTGAAGATGAGCTTAATAAATTTGAGAAACAGCAATTTTTTTAAATTGATTATAAAACACAACCTACCTCCATTGGTCCTATTTGGTTGCTGATCTGGAGTCTGGGGCTGAGGTGAATAATACTGTTGTTGCTGGTAATTGTTTGAAGGAAAATACTGAGTACTGGGGTTCCTCCTACAATCCCGAATGCTGGAGAAAGTCTGTGAGTGGGGAATTCCTCTTTGGAAAGGTGAACACCTTGGAAGACGAGGCTGGGGTGGTGGCAAATGATCAAATTCTTCCTCATCCTCCAGACTGTATCGATCGTACTCTTGATCACTACACGTGCCTTTCTTTCCTGAACTCAGTGATACACTGGAACTATGTCTCGAGACAGATGCTGAAGTAGAAGCATAATCTTGCCTGAGACCTACAGAACAACAAATAGTGTTGTAAGTTGATCTAGCTAATATTGAATTATAGTTAATCAAGTATCTGATAAACATGTACGCCAATAAATTTTTCAAGTAGGACTCCTAGATCTTGGTTTTTAGTTTATTAAACCCATCCTCCAAAATGAATATGTTTATTGCCTGAAAATATAACTAATACTAGAGAATTCAATGTTGTAAAAACACTTCCTGCATTCCAATGAAGATTGAATGTACCTGCCACAGCACCATCAAACAATACCTATGAATATTCCAAAATCAACCCTTTTCAAATCTGGAGATATTTAAAAAAACAGATTAGGAAGAAGTACCCATCATTACTCATTTTCTCTGAATTAGGAGAATGAATCAAATTTCTACCCAAGTAAGAAGACAGCCTGCTCTCTACACTTTCAAAGTCAGAAGGAAAGTTTAAAATATGAAATAGAAATACTTTCTAACAAGGTAACTCTTTCATTCTTATTTTTGTTAATATTATGTTTCAAAATGTTCTGATGTTTTAATATTTTAGGCCATCCTAGATGGCAACCCTTCATAAATAGTCAGAACTGCAAATTTTTCATTACTTGAGTGATTGCCCATACAACTTTTCTTCTAGAAGTAGTCTATTTGAGCCTACTTAATTCTAAAACTGACATCCAACCTTTTAGCCATATATTTTTAGAACAAGCACTTAAGTTTATTAATAATAGTAAAGCAAAAATAATAACCTTCTACCTCAAAGTATACCTTATTAAATCCTGTATAAGTGTTACCATGTTATCACAGTAGCCTTGATAAGTCAAAAATTGAGAACCTGGTATGCTTAAATGACAACTGACTATTTCTATGTAAGTTTGCCTGAAAAGAAAACCCTAAAATAAGGTTGGCTCGGTTTTGTGATCTACATCTTCCTGTAACATAATGGGTGATATGTAGTACTAGATTACTTGTAACTATATCGCAGAACCAGTGAATGACTGCCCATTTCCCATTTTCTACTCTTCAACAACCATTTATCTGCAGGTGCATCAATGCATTTTTGGTGTTGTTTTAATTTTGATTTTGAAAGACTGTCTTACTCTGTAGTCTAGACTAGTCTCATCTCATCAAACTTTCAATCCTCCTGTCCTTGCCTCTTATATGCTAGGAATACAAATATTCACCACCACATGTAGATCAATACATTTTAATTGCGTTTTCCTTAAAACAACTCACATTCAGTGCTAGAAAATATCAATATGCGCTTCATTCCTTCCCCCCCAATAATTTGCAAAATTACTGACTAGTATAATATCCAGGGTGTTAGCATTAAACATAATCTGCTTTTCTATTCAGATTTTCCCAGTTTACTCATGTACTAAAATTTCATGACTAACAGATTTGCAGATCCCTCAACAGTGAAAATATCAGTTGCACCACAAAAAAAAGAATCCCTTGTGTTGCTTGTATTGCCACTTCCCTCTCCTTTCTCAGACCTCAGGTGCCACCCTAATTCCCAACCACTAAACTGTCTTCCACTTATAAAGTTTTCTCATTTCCAAGTGTTATATGAGTGGAATTATACAACATTCAATCACTTGAAATCTTCTTTACTTCACTCTCAGTATGATTCACTGGAGCTCCATCTAAGATACTATATCAATAGTTTGTTTCTTTTTATTGCTGGGTAGTAACTCACTGTATACCACAATTTATTTAACCATTCTCATTCTGAAGGACACCTAAACTAATCTCAGTTTAGGACCATTACAAACAAAGCTGTTAAAACACCCAGGTACAGGATTTTATGTCAACAAAAATATCTGCTGTCCTGGGTAAATACTCCAGAGTACACATGGTATCCAAAGAACACCCATGTGTTATGAGTGCGCCTAATATCTTATGTTCTTAAGCACATGACAGACATATAACTCATCTTCATCCAGTTCTACTAAATAAAACAAGAGAAATAATCAAAGTATTTGCCCATTGTGTGGGGACACGTGCTTGAGCCTCCTTCATCACATCTGGATCACTTGGAAACCTCGCTTTCATAGTTAAAAAAAGAACTTACTTTCTTCTTGTAGACGAGCCATGATCTGAACATCAGTGAGGTCCTGTAATTTATATCCCATGGAGATAGAGTCATCCTCCAGTTCTGAAGTACTCAGCTCACTGTCAATGGAGGACTGGGGACTGAGAGGGGAGCCTCGGGAAGTGTAACCTAAAACACAATGGAAATATGCATCTCATTTAGTTTAAAGAATGGGTAGATGTTCTACAGCTCAAAAAGAAGGGGCAATACCTTTTACTTATTTACAGAACTTCAGAAAATAATTATCAACATATACCATCACTTAAAGCCAGACAATAAGCATACCTTCACGTGTTCATAATTCATATGTACAAAAATTTATTTACTGTTTTCTTAAATTTTCAGAATTTACCCTCTCCCTAAATTGTGTTTAAGACAGTTATTTTTTTTAATGTTTAAAGGATATTTATGTGAATTTCCTTTTTTTTCCTTATGATGTTGAGATTAAAGCTAGGACCTCAAGCATGCTGGACAAGCACTCTACCACTCAGCCACATGCCCAGACCAGTTAGGTGTTTTATATCACTAAGAAAAAAACACTAATAACTATTATGATATTGTAATGATAACTACATGAATGGTAAGGCATGAAAGTACATTTGTGTACATTTTTATTTAGTAATGAGGCATACTTTTCTCTGGTTAAATGTTTGTTTTTTTGGTCAGTCGTGGGGCCTGAACTCTGGACCTGGGTGCTGTCCCTCAGCTCTTCAGCTCAAGGCTAGTACTCTACCACTTAAACTTCAGCACCACTTCTGGCTTTTTCTGCTTATGTGGTGCTGAGGAATCGAACCCAGGGCCTCATGCTTGCAAGGCAAACACTCTACCACTGAGCCACCTTCCCAGCCCTGGTTACATGTTTTAAACCTTAAATTTAATGTGGTCTACTCTTTAATGAGTAGACACAGGAGTGCCATAAATGGATAATATCACACACTAGGCATATAATACACAAAAATATATACAAAACCCTCATAATCAATGAAAGTGAATATAAAGCAGCAATGGCTTTAGATAAGAGAATAAATAACAAAATACTCAAGTGGAAGAAAATGATAGGAATGGAATGATACCAGTGCTGAGACACATAAAGAAATGGTGAGACCCTCAGCTTATAAAAAATAAAGAACCTACTATATCTATTCTTTCTACAGAGCCCTAACGTTCAAAAAAATCTACCAGAAAAAAAATAATTACATAAAAACATAAAGGCTTATGATCTCGAACATTTAAAAAAAATTTGTCTAATTATATTTGACATTTAGTCATGCAAGCACTTAAGGCATTTGAAAACATGCAACTATGTTGGTGTGCATTTGCCAAAGGGAAGACAGACAGACTACCACACACATCAGAGAGCAAGCAATTCAGTGGTAGGAGAATACACATTTTTTTTTGTATCAAAACTAAGTGTGCAGCAAAAAACTCTCCATTATAATAAGATTACCCTCAAGCTTTCTAGTGAAGGATGGATGTCAGAGTTGTATTTAGTGATTGAATTGCAAAGCAAGCAACTGGTCAAGACATTGAAATATTACCTGTTTTTTCAGGTGTTAGTATTGCTTTATTTGAGGTTTTAGAGAAGCTGGGAGTATTAATGCCATTGCTATAAGGGCTGAGTCTTGCAACAGGACTATAAGAGAAAGCCAGGGAGGCAGTTGAAGAGAAGAGACTCCGCCATCGGCTAGCTGTCACAGAAGCAGAAAACAGCAGTAGTTAGCTATGCAGAAGCAGATGTTGCTTTGTCAGAAAGGGAAAAGGAAGAAACTAAAATTTTTTAAGTGGGGGTAGGGGAGAGATAACCAAAAGTACTTTTCATAAGAATATCTTAACTGATTTCTATTTATCTAAGGAAAAATGTATAAAAATAGTCAACTTGTGAGTGAGCACCAATTTACACATCAACTAAGAAAAATCAAATCAATCTCACTTTGAAAGCCAGTAGGCCTGCATGAAAATAAAACTTTGTTTTCAATTTCTACATTAGAAATGTTTTCTACTTCTGAATAAAGGTATGTTTTTAATTAATATAAAAAAGAATAATATTAAACTTTTTAAAAAGCCTTATAGTCTTTAGAAATTATGGAGAATGTTTTCACATTCCTAATGTTCACATTCCTAAATGTTTTCAGTCTATTTTCACTATATTTAATATCAGAAGACACTTAAAATGATTATTTTGTTTAAATGGCCTTGAGTCTAAAACAGTTTTTAGGGAAAAATAGTCTACAAATTAGGGAAGAGATTTCTACACTACAATATAATAACAGTTATAAACTATTGGTCATCTCTTTTTTTAAATACATTTGTTTTCAAGCCAAAATTTTTTCAAAAATATAAGTTTTCTGAAAAGCATATATACTGTTACATGTAACTTAAGTTAGATTACATACATTAATATCTTAATACCATTTTGATATGGATGTATTTAAAGTAACATTAAGAAACTACTCACAATGACTAAGATGATCTAATTCTCACATTACCTCACTTATCGTAATTGGTTTATTTCCCCTATACAAAACTATCATCTCCCTATTAACTCTAAGTGGTAGGATCATGAAAAAGACCTCCAAAATCATAAAAAAAAATTTTTTTTAGTAAATTACACCAAACATCATCTGCTGGTTCTTCATAAAACTCAATTCGGCAAACAAACTGTACATTTCCTAAAAAATAATCAGTTACATACATATTAAGTAGGACACTAAGAGACCAAAAGAAAAAGAAAAAAAATGGGTTACAGTAATACAGCAATACATTGGTTTATATTTACTGGAAATCTGACAAAACAAAAAAAGAAAGGAGCATTTGAAATGCACTTCCCAAACCCCTTCTAATGAGAAATGCGAATGAGCTGTTGAAGAACAATCACCTCCAAACTAGGATCCTTGAAAACTCCGATCAGTATTACTTAAGATCAATGTTTCCTCTTACTTCAGCAAGAATTCTTAAATAAGTCCCACTACATTCCAACAACTGTTTGTGGGGGGGGGGGTCTTTTCCTATGTAGGTGAAGAAGTAAGCAGGGAAACGATTTACTGTAACACTCAAAATGCACCAAGTTCCATGGCCAGTATTTACTGAAATGTGGTTCTCAACTAACACAGCCCTGTGTGTCCCTTACATCCAACCTGTAATCTACTGTGTTCCTGCAGGCCTTACTGCTCTGGGTCAGAGCACAGAAGTGTGCTCCCTGTTCTCTCAGCTCCACACAGGTCAACTTCACCCTGAAATACACTCCAAAATAGGGGTTAACGTGCAGCACACACAATACAGCTGCTCTCATCTTGATTATTAGATGGGTCTCATTAAAAATTCTCTTTAAAAAAAAAGGTCAATAGTTCTTTGTGACTGTATCTCCTGCTTACAGATGATGTTATTTTATATCAGTTTGATCACTAGCCAGACGAATTACAGTGACTGTGTGTTCTCGGCCACAGATGTTGGGGACCGACACATCACGAGTAAACAGCATTCATTATTCTGTACAACCTCTACTGTAACCCAGCCTCCCCGCACAATGACACAGTTATTGTGGCTGTGACAGCAAGATCCCAACTAAGAACACAATTAACGTCTATTGCAAGAAAGAATGTTCCACATTGTTCTTCAGCACTGAGGCTTTTAAGAAGAGGGAGGAGAATTATTGTAGAGGCAAGCCCACAAAACAAAGGTTCTCTATTACTGCCCCAGGGTACAGTGGAGGAAGGGAAGGGAAAGTAGCGGAAAGGATTGCATCCTCCTATTCTTTTTTTAAACTTTATTTTCCTGTAAAGATGCTGTACAGAGAGGTTACAGTTACATCAGTAAGGGAATGAGTACATTTTTTGTCGAACATTCTTCTCCATGTAAGGAGAGTTGTAAAAAATTTAACAGAAAGCATTTTTTGTAAGGAACAAGGGGAGGAAGATTAACTAGGGTTTGAACTTTGCTAGGCACTGTTCTACCTTTTGAGCCATAACCTAAGGCCTGAAGAACTTTTATAGAGGATATTTTATCTCCTTCATTGTATTTTCATGTAAATTTATCAGGTTGTTTTGAGAGACTCAAATAGGATCAAAATGTTATAGGAAGAATAAGAATTTTGCCAAAGGAGAAAATGGGCAAAAAAATTCTAAATAACAGTGAAATTTTCCTATATTCCTATTCCAAAGTTCTATCCATAATAAAAGGTCTCCCTGTAAGAAAAATTGAGATGACATGGATTATGTAATTTTAATTCCATTCCTTAGAATAGCACAGAGTTGGCCCAAACAACTCTGATGCATTGATTAAATGCATCCTGTTTGCCAAGGTTTTCTTTCCCAGAAGTTTTAAACTAAACCACTATGAAGATCTCCCATACTGCAAGTTCTCTAGAGTTCCCACAACTTCCTGTAATCAGGGCCTCAAAACTAGTGGCTAAAGATCAGGAATCTATCTTGTGAGACAAAATGCCACCTCGGGTAGAGAGAGTACATATGAAAGTATGGGGCAGGAAAGACCACTGTAGAGTCAAGGACTGAGAAATGTTTAGGCCAGTGCTCAGGGTACATGTGAGAAAGGAGCTGGGAAGGTGGGTGAAATTCATATGCTTGTAACAGTACATTCCTTAAGGTACAGTTAATGTCCTGACTTTGAAAAGAAGAAGAAAGACAGAATTAGAGATGTTATTTTATGATGATACAGCCCTATAGATGATGGAATAAGTAATTCCCCAGATGGACTGATGACTGAGACATTAATTAGAAGACTTCTCCGACAAGCTCAGTAAGACAAGACAAAGTCCTCAACTAAACATAAGCAAAACACTCAGGTAGAGTAAATGCAGTAAGCCACATCTAAGGAAACAAAGCACTGAACCGTGAACACTCAACAGTATGAATAGGATAGTCAACAGTTCTTACTTGTTTGTTCAAGAACCACATCAAAGAAAGTAAGCTATAAATGCTACATCATCATTATTATTATTATCGACATAGATAACTTGTTCAAATCTTATCTTGACTCTTAAATAATAAGGTTCAGTAACCCAGAGTTCTGGAAAGGAGAGGGAAGCAAGGCCAGGTTACCAGCCCTCCAATCCTTCTGCATTTTCCTTTCTTCATGCTACAGGCTGTCAGGCCTCAATTCACACCATACACAGG